TTATCATTGTTTCCAAACAATTTTTATTAGTCACCATGTAGTCAGTAACTGTCTGCAGATGATGGCTCGTACTACCATAAATACTCAACGAATGCTTCTATATCTAACTAATGGCTAGTTATAATGAATTTCAGTACTGAATTTTAAACTTGTTCAAACCTATTTTAGTTTTTTCCCAATATTACTGCCTGCGAATTGAGAGTTTCCTTTGAATCATCAGGTTGGGTCGGATTCTTTTGGATCATATGGCTGGCCACAAAGAAAAGTGCAGGCCTTGCTAAGAACTCGTTTTCCATTACTGGATCAGCACTTTCAGCTTACTCTTCTGCCTGGCATGCTCACCGCCACCAACCAGAGAAGGTTGCAGTTGATTGAGATGGCACTATAAATTAAAAGTCCATCTTTGTGAAATTTGTAGGTTTTGTTGTACATGTTTGCTTATCAGGACCTTGGGTTGCAAGATAACTCCTCCAAATATTTGTTGTTAGATATGACACCTGGGATATAGTTTGGAAGCATAGAAGTTGCCTTAATATTGCAGGTCTGAAAGCATACTTACGGTCTTTGTATCGCATTGTTTGCCTCGATATGTAGTCTCTCTGCCTTAATGGTGTTCCCTAGTTTTCATGTTGGTTTGGAATAAATGGTAAGCTACAGGTGGGTAAATACAGGTTAGAGGCACCATAAAAGCTCACATAGGCCTAAATTGAAACGAGATTCCCACAGTTGTAATGCTTCCTCTCCGATTTGATAAAAGATCTGACTGGTAAATTATAACTTTGTTCAAAAGTCTTGTAGGAAGATTAATGCATTTGATCTGTGCAATGCATGATATTTTGTTTTTTATTGGGTTTTTTTAAGTTGCTAAAACTTCAAGTCATTTGTGAAAGTATTGTATGATCAAGTATGAAGAATTTAAATGGTTGATGTAAATAGATATGGTTTTGACTTCAATAGATTTCAAATGGCTTATTGGTATTGTAGCTAATTTTTGTCTATTTGGCTTCTCTTGTTCATATAATTATTGG